GGGGGGGGGAGGGAATAGCGAAACTCCGAAACGTTATCGTCATGGTCTACATGCTCATTGATGAACGCGCGTTCTCCCGCTCTTTCTCTCTCTCTCTCTCTCTCTCTATCGATCTATCTATCTCCGTGAGATGCAGGATCGTTTTAATGGATCAGAAAATAGATCGATGGCTGCGTACGACGCCATAACGCGTACGTGTGAGAGCTCGTCCGAAATCGGCACAGGGTGTGGCTTAGAAACGACCGACCGATTCGGAATATACGTTCCGGCCGATCTGCCTCGGGAAAAGCGCCATCCGAACGGCAGGGACGATCCTTACGACTCGAGCGTGTACGCTTGCGCGAAAGCGGGTGATATTTCAGGAACGGGTTTTCCCTGTGCGAATTCATGCATCGATCTCCCTCGAAAATGCCAAGGATAATCAACGGTCCTTCGCGATCTTTCTCACCGTTTTCACCGGGCGACTCGGGCAACGGGGTGACACGCGAGTCGACGTGCCGAGGCAGTTCTTCCTCTGCGCATCTCCTCAGCCGGTTGTTCTTAACGATGAACGATCAGATGAATTCTTCTCCTCGTCCTCTAATCGTCGCGTCGCGCAATGTTCAATTACATTGTCAGCCGGCTGAGAAGAATCCTCGAGGGCCGCTCGAGAAGAAGTCCTTCATCTTGCATGCATGGTCACGGCGAGCGGCTCGACGGTGTGCCTCGTCTTTTTCTGCTTTTTCATCCCGAGAGAAAGTAATTAGGGATCGATGACGTGGAACATGGGTGTGGAGCATTGTACGAGTGTCCGGAGCGCGGGTTCGACGACCCTCGAAAGCAGGTGGCATCTTTTTCGAGCAGCGTGAAGAAAGTTCTTCATCTCCTCCCCCTCTCGCCTCCTCTTCCCCGCTCGTTTTTCGTCTCTGCCTCTTTCACGGGCTTTCGGAGTGGCTCGATCCGTTTTCCAACGGCGAGAGATCAACCAGACAGACCCCGACGAAGCGGCACACCGGTATTACACACGGTGGGCGAGATCCATTACGAAACACGAGGCGGCCGAGGACCGCGTCGTCTCGTGGCGCGCGGAACTTCTAATCGGGAACGGCACGTAATAGCCACGGGCATTCCTCCGGCTGCGTGCCATCGCGTTTGAATGGAGAGGAGCTTCCGGTCATTTTGTAAGACCGCCATATCGGCGTCTCCGATCGATCCTGTTCGTTCGGGGGAACGGGTAGTCGAGGCCAGAGGAGGCCGGAGAAGAAGGACGCGGCGATCGTTTACGACTTCCTTAATAATGCGGCTTTGCGCTCCGTTAGATCGGCGATTTTTCACCTGGAAAGCGAAGATACGCAGAGAAGGAGGAGGAGGCGATGTGCGACTCGGCTCTCGCGAACCTCTCGTCGTTCCCCCGACGACCTTTCGTCGGCGATCCGCTTGTATGACGTCGCCCGCGACTCGTAACAATCGCGTTCAGCAGATAGACGACGCGCGCTCCCACGCCGCGGATTTTTCACGCTTTCCTTCGACTCCCCCCCCCCCCCCCCNCCGGGAGTCCGAGTTCGGCCACCGGTCGAGTTTCTATCTCGATAACTTTCCTCCGAAGTGGGATACCATCGATCATCGAGTATTGCCGCGGTATCGCACGGCGGAACGCCAATTATCTCCGTCGGTCCGAGCGTTCGTCCCACCTGACGCGCGCGATCCGGCGAATCGACGCGGATCCTTCATGTCGAACCGTTACGTCGTACACCGTTGTTGCACATTGAGCATTGTTCCACTTCCAAGTTGCCTACTTATAATCCTTCCGAGTTGTATCTCCGTCTTTTCGCGACGAACTGGCGAATTGACCGCGACGCGGATCTCTCCTCGGGGAAAACGCCCGCACGATGCCAAGTCCGCGCGTTATCCAACGCCAAGGACTCGTTGTATAATCGCCGCGTACTTGGCGACCTGGCCACCGAATCGCGCTTTCACACGTATTTCTTCCTCACCGTTTCCGCGTCTGAAGCACACCGATTGACCGGTAACCGTTCGGTGTACGTTAATTAATTTTCAACCCATCGCTCCAACACCGTTCTGTTTTCTACGACGCAGGTGTTCGACGAGGTATATACG